GCGTGTCCCTGCTCAAGATTTCATGCTCTCAAGACAAAAGTTAATTGACCTATCTTTTAAAAAAAATATATTTTATTGATTATGCTATTACATTTGTCCCAATTTTTCTCTCTCTGACTCTCTCCATCACCCTTTCCTCTAGCAACCCTCTCCCCTTAGTTCATGTCCATGGGTCTGCATATAAGTTCTTTGACTACTCCATTTCCTATGCTGTGCTTAACATCCCCTGTCTATTTTGTATCTACCAATTTGTGCTTCTTAATCCCTGCATCTTTCCCCTTATCCCCTCCCTTGCCCTGCCCAACTGATAACCCTCCAAATGATTGCCATATCTATGATTCTATTCCTATTCTGCTTGCTTGCTTAGTTTGTTATTTGCGTTCAATTATTGATAGTTGTGAATTTATTGCCATTTTAGTGTTCATCGTTTTGATCTTCTTCTTTTTCCTATATTATTCCCTTTAGCATTTCATATAATAATGGCTTGTTGATGATCAGCTCCTTTAGCTTTACCTTGTGTGGGAAGCACTTTATCTGCCCTTCCATTCTAAATGGTAGTTTTTCTGGATAGAATAATCTAGGTAGTAGGTTCTTGCTTTTCATCTCTTTGAATACTTCTTGCTAGTCCCTTCTAGCCTGCAAATTTCTTTTGAGAAATCAGTTGACAGTCCTATGGAAACTACTTTTTATGTAACTTACTGCTTTCTCTTGCTGCTTTTAAAGTTAAAAATTCTCCCTTTAACATTACCCGTTGGCATTTTAATTATGATGTGCCTTGGTGTGGTCCTCTTTGGGTCCATCTTGTTTGGGACTCTCTGTGTTTCCTGGATTTGTATGTCTATTTCCCTTGCCAAATTAGGGAATTTTTCTTTCATTATTTTTTCAAATAAGTGTTCAATTTCTTGCTTTTCCTCTTCTCCTTCTGGCACCCTTCTGATTCAGATGTTGGTATGTTTAAAGATGTCCCAGAGGTTCCTAAGCCTCTCCTCATTTTTTTCCATTCTTTTTTCTTCCTGCTGTTCTGATTGAAAGTTTTTTTCTTCCTTGTATTCCAAATTGTTGATTTGATTCTCAGCTTCATCCTCTCCACTGTTGGTTCCCTGTGTATTTTTCTTTATTTCACTTAATGTAACCTTTATTTCTGCCTGGGTCTTTTTTTATGCTATTGAAGTACCCAGTGAAGTTCCTGGGGCATCCTGATAACCAGTGTTTTGAACTGTGCATCTGACAGGTTGCTTATCTCCATTTCATTTAGTTCTTTTTCTAAAGTTTTGTTCTGTTCTTCCATTTGAGCCATATTTCTTTGTCTTCTCATTTTGGAAGCCTCCCTGTGTTTTTTTTCTGGGTATTAGCTAGAGCTGCTTTGACTCCCTGTCTTAGTAGCATGGCCTATTGTAGAAAAGTGCACCTGTAACTTGTGTGGGGCAGAGCCTTAGGTAATCACCAGGGCAGGGCAACCCATGTCACCAGCCTGTGGCTCTGTGTCACGGAGGGTTTAGATAGGGGACAGTGCCTCTGCCTGGCCTCTGGTGTTTTGCCCAGGAAGCAGCCGTCTTCCAGCGCTCACCCTGATGCCAGTCACTTCAATTTCTCTCCGTATGCCACTGGTGCCCTTCCATCTGTTGCCCTGGTGCTGAATCCCAGGGGGAGTGAGTCTGCGTGAGTCCTAAGTCCATTGCAGGCCCTTTATGAGGAGTCTGTTGAGAATCCCACAGTTTCTTCCATCACCCCAACGCCCACTGGAGTTTATAGCCAAAAGTTATGGGGACTTATATTCTTGGCGCTGGAACCCTGGGCTGGATGGTCTTGTCTAGGTCTGGGATTCCTTTTTTCTGAGGTATCCCCCCTGATTTTTAGCCCCGCATGTGGGTGTGGGACTGCTTGCTCCCACCTCTGCACCTCTCCGGACCACTCTACCTCCCAGCGCCTCTCTGCCTCTCTCTCCCCTACCCATCTGGATAAACATGGCTTCTTTAAATCTTTGATTGTTGGACTTCCACACAGCTTGATTTTCTGACAATTCTGGGTAATATTTGTTTCGTAATATATTTTTCACAAAACAAATATTTTTTTGCTATAGTTATGTGAGGAAGTGAGATGTGTTTACCTTCACCTCCATCTTGACCAGAGCCTGATTGACCATCTCAAGTCATACCCCCAGTGGGTTGGGGTAGACTGGAGAGATGAGAGGAAGTCTGCTTGGACTGACAGTACAGATGGGACCTCACCCAAAGAGGTAGTGCTCAGGCTCTTACAGATAGAGGAGAATGACCTGCTGGGCAGACAACTAAAGCAGATGTCAGCAGCACCCAGCACAGAACCTGACCTGACTATATATCTGCAGCCTGCTACCTGCCTATAGTCACTGAGTAAACCTCTTCAGTCTTCTGGACCTTGTTTTCTATGTAGGGAGGGCAATCTCCGTGCTCTCACAGCTCTAACAGTTTGAGGTTTGACTGGACACAGCTCTCTCAGACTTGAAAGTGCATATGAATCATTTAGGGATCTTGTTAAAAATACAGATTCTGATTCAGCAGGTCTGGAGTGGCCTGCACAAGCTCCCGGCTGTTGCCAAAGTTGCTGGTTAATCAGACCATGTTTTCATAGCCAAGTCCAAGAACACTGCTGTGCTGTAGCTTTGCAGGTGATGGGACACTAAGCCAAAGTTAGCAAATTTGAACTTGGAATGGTTTGCATTATAGTAGTGACACACTAGCTTCCTTAGTGGCCCATTTTATTGTGTACATTGAAAGTATAGACATAAGCACTAATGGGGTCTGTCTTTGGGAAGGCAAGTGACTCCCATTTAATCATCATCATTAATCAATAAACCAAGACTACCTACACATCATTACTCTGAAGTATAAGAGCTTTCCCATCAACCATATTAGGTACCTAAAAAACAAATGATTCTAACTTTAGCTTAGAGCTAATACAAGATAATAACTTTTCAAGGTTTTCATGATGAATGTAAACTCCAGAGAATTTTTTTTTTCTTGAGCTGAAGACCAATCTATTGTCTAATAATACCAGGATATTAACCAACAGAATTTAGCTTGGGGGCCTCTGAGGAAGGCCTAAGTTTTCATTTATGGCTGTTCAGAGTCAAGTACACAGATGGATTTCGATAAATAATTTATCATAATGGAATTTGTCTAAAGTGAATTGAGTACAGTACTAAAAGTATCACAATGAGTTTGTTTATCTAAAGTAATGCCTACATTAGGAAATCAAATCCCCCTCTGATAGGTTTGATGATGTTTAGTCTATATTAGGCATAATTTTAGAAGTCAAGTACTCTCATGTCAGACATTTTCCAAATTACACTCTCAGACAAGAAACCACATCAGAAACCTGAGGTGATTGGAATATTAATTACCCCCATCTAACATCCCCTCCTCTGACAGTGTTCCTCCATTCTGTGTCCTCTCCCTGGTTACAGTGGCATGCCTTGGGGACACAGGAAGCTGAGAGAGCCAAATAAGATAATCACTTGAGAATTATCAAATAAGATGGTGTGCTGGATATTTCAAGTCCTAATTCACCTGAAGGACATAAGACAGCTGAAAATTTTTTTTAAGTCTTCAAAAGGCAGGAACATTTTGTTCCAAGTGGACAGCTTGAAACCTCAGGTGCTATGGGGCACTAGACAGTGAGCTTAAAAAAATAATTATAAGGAAAGGGCTTCTAAGTAATGAGAGACAAAATCAAATAAATGAATAAATATTTAATATGACAAGTGGCAACAAGGAACATCTGGAAGCACTCAGCCCAGAAGGCAAGCTTTCCCCACTTAAGGCTAAAGAGCTGGCAAACTCTCTGTCACTGGTTACAGCAGGGATTTCCAAAAGTCTATCGGGTATCAACAGCAATACAGTGAAGTCCAGCTGGGAAAGAGGTGCACCTCCAGCAGTTAAGAGTGGAGGGCATTTTTAAGACCTACTCACTTAACAACTTTCATTTTAGTACATAACTATTGAACTATAACAACTGTGCTATGCATTTGATCCCCCAAAACTTATTCATCTTCTAGCTGGAAGTCTGTACCCTTTGACCACCATCTCCATTCTACTTTCTATGCTTTCAACTTTTTTCTTTTTTTTTTTTAGATTCTACATGTAAGTGATATCATACAATATTTGTCTTTGTCTGGCTGCCTCATGCCCTCAAGGCCCATCCATGCTGTCACAACGGGCAGCGTTCCCTTCTTTGTATACATATTCCATTGAATATGCATGCCACATCTTTATTCCCTCATCCAAAACTTGTTTTTGGGGGGTTTGTTTATTTTTTCTGGTGAATCAAGTTTATTGTGTAACAATAGCAGGAGTAGTACAGTAGTAGCACATAACAACTTAGTACAGAGTAAACACAGACAAGGGGACACCACCAGTCACCATTTCAGGGAGCAGAGAAGAGTTATTGAGGCAACATCCCAGGAGGTGGGAAAGCGATGGACCTGTGTTGTAGTCTCCAAAATATCAGGGTCTTATGTGGACCTTGGGCAATTATGTGCCACTTCTCTCAGCTTTAGTTGGCTCAACTCTAAAAATGGAAGATGAGGACTAGATGGTCTCTAAGGTCTTCCAGCTATAAAAATACAGGATTCTAAGGACAAATGCAGAAAACTTGAAAGATGAGGGTGTTACAGGGGAGGAAATGAGAAACACAAAGCCATGGAAGTGGGGAAAAACTAGTTTGGGGTTTTGTTTTTTGTTTTTTGTTTTTTTGTGCATCAGCAAAGTGTGTTGTGGGATAGTAAGGACCTTAAACAAGACTGCTTAACTACTGTGAAGATACTGGGGGCAATAAATTTGAAAATGGGCCAGAAAGAGTGCTAAGCCAAGTAGGGGACAAGAAGCAGGGACCAAAATGAAGAAAGAAATACTGTTTCCTATGGTCAGTGTCTGACTTATCCTCATGCTCTCCACCTCATGCTAGAGGCTGTATGTCTTCATGGAACTTTATCACAAACCCTTTCCCAAACCTACACACCAAGTAAAGCAAGAAGAAGATGTGGTTATAGATGCCTTCTCTTTAAAACTGTGTAAGAAACCCTCTTTTGTGGGCCAGGAAGCCAAGAGCAGTTGCTGAAAAGATGGTAGTCAATCCAATCAGCCTCAGCAGCCCTGGTACAGACAGCAAATTTCTCTCCAAGAAGGTTGTGGCAATGGGCTGTGCAGGAACATCCACAGACTCTGGTTCAGACTGCCAGGTTTCATCCTCTGGAATTTTCCTCATGGCATACAGGGTCTCTCGGGCTGCTCTCTCCCCAGCCTCCACAGCCCCCTCCGTGTAACCACTCCAGTGTGTGGAAGTCTCCGTGCCTGTGAAATAAATCCTGCCCACTGGCTGGCGTAGAACCCTTCCATATTGAGTCAGGATCCCTGGAGGGAAGTAGGTCGTGTAGCAGCCTCCTGAGTACTGATCCTCACACCAGTTCTCTTCGTAGTGCACCACTTGTAAAGCTTCTTGGGAGCCCAAACCTTTTGCATAGAGTTCACAAAGTTTATTCAACCTTTCTTCTTTGCTAAGGCGTGCCAGTTTTCTGGCTTTGTGGGCAAGGATAAATCCAATTATGGAGGCATGGCTGCCATCAGGTTTGGTATCATCCAACGTATAGGCAACTGGAGCTTCCTCTCCTTCAATAATCATGGTTCCACAGTAATCCTTTTCCTCCAAAATGGCTCTTTATAATAAACGATACACTTGATGACTGAACCCAAAGGCACACGAGTAATCATCTGGTTTCTCATCATTGGCAGAGGGGGCTTGTGATGAATCTTCATGCCCAGAACAGGGGGAATAGCAGTAATCACATACTTAGCCTCATACACCTCGTGATTTAGAGTTTGACAAGGACATTTACTCCTGTCTGGTCAATGTGGGTCACAGGCCTCTTCAGCTTCACTCGATCCCCAAGGAGGTCCATTATCCATTCACTCACTTGGCCAGATCCACCCACAAATTTCCTCTCCTGCCCTCCATTGGTTGTTGAGACGATCCTCGTTGTGCCCCCACAGTGCTTCACATACCAGAGGAACCACAGAGCAGAAACTTCATGGGTTTCTGCAGAGACACACAGCTTCACAAAGAGAGTAGCAATCTTCTTTGCAGAATCAGTCCATCAGATCTTGTCTAGCAGCTCCTTCCTTGTCATGTGGTCCCACTCTTCTGCAAGAGGTGCTTTCCATGGAGCATCACTGGGAATCTCTTGTCCCAAGATATCCATTGTCCTCCAAAGGTTGTTATGATCTAGGTAGGTAATTGGATTCCAAACAGGTGGGAGTGGGCCCCTGAATTTGCATGATTTGCCCTTTATGTGGTGGATCAGACACTCTACTTCATTCACTTTGTAAGTCTCCAATCCTACTTCTATGGCTAATCTTAAGATACGATTCTGGGTTGGCCCAACATAGGATCTTCCAAGGTCCACATATTTAACCATTTCATTTCTAACAGTGTAAGTCCTGCCTCCCACACGGTATCGAGCTTCCAGAACAACAACATTCAGACCAGAATCATGCAGATATTTGGTTGCTGCCGTACCTGAGATGCCGCCCCCCACCACGACTACATCACATTTTCTGCTCATGACTCTCGTTCCTCTCCAGGCCACCCGGAAGCCCGCTGCTCTGGTCTCTGGGTCTCGGCCTCTGCCCCCAAAACTTGTTAAGAAAATATATCTTAAATGTTCTCCCCCCCCACACACAAAAAAGATAATTATATGACATGTTAGAGGTGCTAGCTTAAACTAGGATGTGTCGGTTCAGACACTCAGAAGCTTCCTGGGTGAAATCTGAAACCATGCACAAAGGACAAGGAGAGATTTAAGAAAGAAGCAGACCACTCCAGACAGAGAGGTGGCAGTAAACAAAGAAACATACATATGATATTTGTCTTGGATGGCCTCAAGATGACAAGATCTTTGCACCTGCCCATCAGAATCTTAAAAGTTTATACACAGTCCTTAAAAGGGTTCAGTTACATATATCATCCAGACGGTCTTAACAACAACATCCTCTCTCAAGGTTCTGTCCTTGAAATGGCTCTGGCTATGGGAATGGCGGGCAGAATGCACATTTCCAGGACAGAGGAAAGGAAAAGGAGCTTTCAATTGCCTGGGTCCAGCTCACGGGTCCACCAGTGGTCATGGCCTCTCCCTCAACATGGTGGTAATCCCTCTGCAATACGCAAGCCTACCAAAGCAACATGCTGTATGCCTTAAACTTACACAACATTGTATGTCAATTATATCTGAATAAATCTGGGACACATGTTTTAAATTAAATAAAGATGTACACACACCCATTCTACAACCCATTATACCTATTTCTAGATAAATTCTGCTCTGTAAACCAGAGGAAATTTAACACAAATGCATGAGGGAATGTGTACAGGGAAGTTTACTGAAGCTTTCTTTATAAAAGCAAAACATTGAACTTAACCTTACTGTCTACAAACAGAAGATGGGTTAAAAACTTAAGGTATATTTGTGTAATGGAAAGCTGTTTAGTAGGTGAAATTACTTAAAAATAGCCACATGAATACGTGTGTAAAACAATATTAAGTGGGGGATAAAAGCGAGTAATGCAAGTGTGCCTCCTGTCATGGTGAACACTAAAAACGTCCAAATCAATACCATCTATTGACGAAAACACAGAATGTGTAGCAAATGGATAAAAAACATGAGTGGAAAGAGGACTCATGAACCTAAGTACAGCTGTTACCTCTGGACAGAGAAGTGGGAAATTGCTTATAAGAATACAAGTGGAGTTTCGCCTGTGTAATTAATGCATTTTCAAAGTAAAAGATCTGAAACAAATATGTCAAAACTAACATTTCAGTGCTAGGGGCTGCTAGGCTCCCACCTCATTTTTGCCTTTTCTTTAAGTCTTTAAGATCTGCTGCAAAAACAAGGGAAAACTGGTATTGTGAGCTCTGAGCAGCTAGGTCTCTGTATCATTTGTGCCTTAAGTAAGTGAGGATGTTTTTTGTTGTTTTTCATGTAGTTATAAAAACTGAAAGTTGGTCACAGTGGGGAACTTTTTTTTCCATTAATTCCACAAATATGTATTGCACGTCTTTTTTGGTGCCAGCCAGTGTGTCGGGACTTCGGTAGGCGTCGTCTGACTGGGGGGTTACTAGCCTCGGTGCAGCGGCTTTCCCTTCCTGCCACCGCCCAGCACGTCTCCGAACCTCCACTTGCATCTAGATTTTCTTTCTGTCTTTTTAAATTTTTTAAATTAAATTTATTGGGGTACAGGTTTCAAGTGTACAGCTCAAGAAAACATCATCTGCACACAGGGAGGAACGTTTAAAATGAGAAAGAGTGGACAGAAATCAAGGAATACAAATAGCTGAGAAACCCCACATAAGGGGAACTTTCCATGTAATTAGGCTGGATACCACAGATTTGGCTCTAGAGACATTTCCAGGTCACATTGAGAATGTACAAACCTGCCGGAGCCTTAAGTAAGAATCAAGAAAAACTACATCAATATTATATACTTTCCTTAGTAACCTGGGCATAAAATGTATATTAAAGAGAGATAAGAGAATTAAACTGCTTTGAAGGAGACAAGTGCCATTTAAATGCTAAAGGGTTCTAATTGCAGCTCTGGTGGAAGGAGATTATAGCTTCACTATGAGGAAACAGAGAACTGGTTCTAATCCTTGTTCCATGTCCCTTCAAAAACATAGAGAATTCACATTTTGGTTCGACAGTAGTTAGCAATATTAAGTCCATGGTGTTTCTGCAAGGACATCCTAGTTATTGAGAGCTATAAAAATAGAAAATCTATGCTTCAATTTGAAGTCAATTTTTTTTTTAAATCTGGCTTCCACTGCTTGCTTGGTTGCATGACCTTGGTTGAATCATTAGTTTCTCTGGGTCATAGTTTCTCATATACAGGGTCTGGCACAAATAACACCCCCTTTTATATTACAATATCTTTTATTACAAAATGATGAGCATGTAATTCTGTAACATAGCAATATCACACTCAAGCCCACCATATGACATTTTAGGTGAAATGTTCAAATTGCTCTCCATCTCGTGTGAGACATTCATGTATCCTACCAACCACACTCAAGCAAGCCTTACTTTTGCCAGGCTTAAATACTTAAGTATTTAAGGGGAACACTTAATTAGCTAATTATTTTCCACATTGTTGTAGGATTAAACAAGGTAATTCTGTAAAATGCGTGGTCCCTGAGGTAATATTTGTGCTCGATAAATAATAAATACTTTTGTTATCATCAACAAAAAATGGGAAAATTTTCCCTAAATATCACACAATGTTACAATTACTGGGAAAACAAAAGTCAGTCGAATGTTCAACTGTTTAATGTGTGTGATGCAAACCTAGTCTGACGATTTTACTGAATTGCTTATTTTTTATAGAATTTACTGAATTTTATTTAGTTGTTAAATAGGCAGAACCTATGTTCTCTGCTATGTTAAAATCAGCCTGATTATAAATTCATCAAAATCACATCTCATATTTTGTTGACTCAATAAGAGAAGCTTAATAAACATTAGTCACTCTTAATTGAACTATTCTTATTGTCAGGAAATTACCTAAATTTCATGATCCTAGGGAAACTACTGAACTATTATCGAGTTTTTAAAAATGTTGGGACTGGAGTATTTTCAGGCACAGATAATAAAATAAATGGAAGAAGATTAAATTCATTTGAGGTACTGTAGAAAAAAGGCCACTATGAACTGAAAACCTCCTTGCCTATGAAATCTAGATGAAATTTCACTGAACCCCTTTATTTTGTGACTGGTAGTACCCAAAAATGCTTCGGTGTTTCTTGAGTTCTGTCTCCTTCACACAATACCTCTGTCCTACAGTATGAAAACCCTAACCTAAATTTATTGGGATGACATTGGTTCATAGGATTATATAGATTTCCAGTGAAACTTCTAGATCAATGCATTAAAAAAATAATACATTACGATCAAGTGGGATTCTTTCCAGGGGCACAAGGATGGTTCAACATATGCAAATCAATCCACATAATATACCACCTTAACAAAACAAAGGGTAAAAATCATTTGAACTTGTCAATAGCTACAGAAAAAGCATTTGATAAAATCAACATCCGTTTATGATTAAAGCATTCAATAAAACAGTATGGAAGGAAAGTACCTCAACCTAACAAAGGCCACAAGCCTCTTAAGATCGACAGCAACCCTCTTTCACGCTAAGCTTTCTGGGGACAAGCAACGCTGTTGCAGATTACAGATTGTGGTGGAGAAGTGCCCCCTGAAGAGCCTGCCTCCAATCTGATGGCTTTATCTTATTGTCCTTTGTCCATCTCTGTTCATCTCTGCTCTTTCCCTCTGCATCCTCTGCCATCACACCGAGAGCTTTACCCTCCTCTGAGACTCAGGTGCCAGCTGCCATCCCAGCCACTGGAGGACTCCTCTTCTGCCGTATAAACACATATCAGAACATTTTCCCTAGTGTTGACAGTTTCCTCTGTAGGAGGACTTTCAGTGCTGGTTGTTAGGGCAATACTGTTGGCTCATTTTAAGCTTGCTTGAAGCTGCAAAGGGAGATAAAAAGAAGATACTAAGATGCTCAGGTTGGAGAAGGTAAACCTTGAGGAAGATTTCTTTCAGGGCAGGTGTAACTCTCCAAAGGATCAAAATTTGTCCTGCCTGGAGGCCTCCAAGCTAATTGCCGTTGCCATCCTTTCTCTCCCACCATGACGGGGGAAAAGAGAGAGACCTCAAGGTCACTGTCAGCACGGCTCTCCCTATCATATGCTCCCCTCGTCTTGATGGAAAATTATATGGTTTTAACTTTAAATAGTCAGGAGTCAATTAATCTAAAGTGGGTCTAAAAGGACAAATATTAGAAAATAGCTCTGGAATGTGAAGCTATGCCAATGGAGAAAGGAAAGCTTTTGGCAGAAGTCCAAACTGAGTCCAAGGTCTAGAGCAAAATCAAGCCAATTATGGATGTTTTAGTGGTCGGGAGACTAAGAAAGTTGCACAACAGGCTTCAGAAGAAGGAGGATTCTGATAAAAGATGTTGGGGGACAGGAATATAGTCACTAATGAATTAGGGTTTAAGGCATGGATACATGTTAATGGAACCATATTAATGGAAACTGGTTTTCACAGTAGGTGTCAAATAACCAAAAAACACACCTGGAAGCAGTTTCTTTTTTTTAACAGGTGGATTAAAGATTTTAATGTAAAAAACACAACTTGAAGGTCAGGGAGAGAAGAATAGGTGGAGCCCAGAGGATTTTTAGGGCAATGAAAATACTCTGTATGGTATTATAACGATGACTATATGTCCTTATTCATTTGGCTAAACACACAGAATGTACAACACCAAGAGTGAAAACTAATGTAAATGGTAAATGATGGACTTTGGTTGATAATGATGTGTCCAGTTCATCAACTGTAACAACTGTATCACTTTGGTTGAGTATAATGATAGCTGGGGAGTCTTTGCATATGTGGGAAAAGGGTGTATGTGGGAAACACCTGCACTTTCCTCTCATTATTGGAAGCAGTTTCTTGAAGGTCTAAGAGCAGAGTTCACAGTAACAGTTCAATGCTTCCCGGTGCCGTGCAACA